CGTTAAGACTCTAAAATGAGTACGTAGATTTCAAGATTGATCTGCTCTCCTCTTAATAAGATTGATCTTTTAAAATGGAACTCCATTTTTTAACATATAATGCATTTTGGGGTTTCCTCGTCTTTAATTTCACGCACCAAACAACTCAACTTTGACTTGCATTTAAATTTGGCCATTATGTCGAATGCTCATTTAGAAATGGCAAAAAACCCGTTAATCCAATACCCGCGAGACCTTGACCTAAACGGGTCGGTGATTCCTTGCATAATCGGGGAGAGGGGTGGGACAGGTACGGGAAACATGGTTCTCGTCCCATTTAAAATTCATTTCAAGATATATAATTGTAAAAAAAAAAAAAGAATAAGACTTTGTAAAGGAAATATGAACTATTCTACAAATTGAAAAAAATAATGATTTTCACCNNNATTGAAAAAAATAATGATTTTCACCGGACGTGTAAAAAATAAAATTTAAAAATAAAAAAATAAATGCGGGCAGTAAATGGGGTAGGCCCCCTTCTCTACCTTCGTCCCCACCTACCTTAACTCGGGATAGGGACGGGGCAAGGGCAAAAAACGTAAATATGGTTAGATATGAGAATAATTGTCCCGATTTGTCCCGTTGTCATCCTTAAATACTTTTAGTCAGATTGATGTTTCAAGCCGACGTGAAAGTTAAAATGGCTTATGTAGAAAACACCGCGTCATTACACATCATCCATTTTTTTAATGCTAATGATGCATGCACTTATTGAAAAGGGGTAATAAGCATTTTTACCGTGGCATTTGCACCCTCATTTCAACAATTTCTTTCAAGTTGTTCATTTTCGTCTCATTTCATCACTTCCTTCTGTCAAATGTGGATAATTGGTGCAAAATGTCACTGTAGTTACCTTCATTGCGCAAATCATCCATATCGTTTCAATTTTAGCATTTGGACCCTTAGATGGACATTTCTTTGCACAAATGTCCTTATAATCTATTTTCTCCATTAAAATATTTTAAAATGATTAATTTACTCTCATCTTTAAATAAACAAATAGAAATCTACATAACAAAAACAAATTGGAACTCCAATACCATGATCAATCATGACGGTGCTGAAAGCATCGCCCCATGACCACGATGGTTGTGGTGTGGTGGATTTGTGGAGGTCACGACGACGACGACTGCTTGGGGATTTATTGGTGGGGGTGGTTGTGGTGTGGTGAAGATGTATATAGAGATGGTAGTTGTGATTTTTTGTACAGGTGATGGTGGTGGGGGTAGCGGTGGCGACCGTGATGGTGAGATGGTGGTGAAGATGGTTGTGGTGGCTGTGGCTGCATCGGCGTCGACGATAGCTGTAGTGTTGGTGTGGTCATGGCGATGGCTGTGACAATTTTGGATCTAATTTTTTGGTAGTGTTTAGAGGGTGGTGGTGGCGGTTGTGATATTGACGGTGGCGTAGTGGTTGTGGGTAGGGGTGTGTTTGTCCAATTATTTGGTTGATTGTACCAATAATTAATATGTGACCTAAAAAATGTGATCATGACTCACAATTAATTTGATAAGTTGTGACTTATAAAATTTGTGATTTGTGATCGATAAATAAATTGTGACCTATAAAATATTTGATTTGTAATCAAAAAATAATTTGCAACCTATAAAATTTTTGGTTTGTGAATTCGATAATATGTGACAAAATTATATAGATTTGACACCTTAATATATTTATCCCATGTTTGGAATCAATTTTAATTGGATTAACCTCAATTTCTTTACCTTTGGGAAAGTGCAAGTGGGTCCACACAAGTGGGGTTTTTTTTTCCTTCCTCATAATCAGTAAATTATCACTATAAAATTCATTTCCAAACATACCCTTTCGGAATAGTCAAACATAATGATTGATGGAAATGTCTGTAAGTAATTCAGAGTAAAAATAGCGGTTATATAGTCTTTTTCCACTAGACTTTAATATAATAATTTATTACTGGTAAAGTCAAAACATCATAAGTGTCTCATTTTTCTTTGGCAACGGTCAAATAATTGATTCAAACATCGATAAAATCTCTCCCAAACAAGTGTTTAATTAATAAAAATATATTTTTAATTAATTATTTCATAAATAAAATTTAATCAATATCTTATTTTTGAAATTTTAAACCTTGTTTTTTAGTTTTGAAATGGAGCATACTTTATCTCTTAGATATGAGTTTTCCCATCTAATTAATCTCAGTCCAATTAATAATAAACTCAATATTAATTATCCACTCAACAACTGGCCTAGGACATAACTAGGCCATAATATGACTAAATTACAGTAGACCTTACATTTTAATTTCAACTTAAGAAATTAATTTATAATTTTTTTATTCATGTTATAATTATTTTTATAATTTAAAAACATATATACACCTCACCCCAACCATAAGCACCCCACTTTCTATATATTTTATACATTTATGCACATGACACACTCCACCCCGCAGAACCCTCCCCTAATGTAATTATCTTTTGCCTAAAAAGTCTCACTACATTTTGAAAAAGAAAGTTCGTCTCTCTACGAATAACTCTCTCTATACATACGCAAACAACTATATACAATCTATCTGTAAGATTTTGGGGCTCCAATCAACACCAAACCGGGCTCAGCTTCACCAAACCGACACCACAATCGACACCAAGAAATCCCAATCCGACCTTCCCAATCCGGCTACTTCTTGACTGCCCACAAAGGGCAG